TCCATCCATCCACCATCCGTCCATCCATCCACCATCCACCATCCACCCATCCACTCACTATCCACCACCCAGCCACCCTCCTTTCATTCACTTACTTGCTGGCCACGTTTCTGAGGCCTGTCACATCCTGGCTGGGCACTGCGGACCACAGAGAGAAAGAGTCCCAGCCATGCAGTAACTGAGATGCAGCAGATGCAGGCACCATGACAGAGACGCGACATGGGGAGGACACAAAGTGGCCGTCTGGACTGGTATCCAGGGCGCGGTGGGGAAGGTGTCCCGGAGGGGCAGGTGTCATTCTGTCTGCCTCCCCAGACTACTGCTGTACTCGGCCCCCGGCCAGCCCCGCTCCAGCCCGTTAGGTGATCTCTGAGAAGCCCTTTCCATCGGGAGGGCATCTCCCTGGCCCGCAGGGTGGGGACGCTGCTTGGTCCTCATGCGCACTGGCTTTTCTGGCTCAGTATGAAAGGACAGAGTCTGGTCCTCACCATGAGGGGCCTCACTCACTGGACGGGGTGTGTGTGCAGTCACCGGTTCCCTGGCTTTGGCTCTGTGGGCCCCAGGGAACGTCACGGGCCCAGCCTTCCAGATCCCCAGCTTTACCAGAGTGGAGGTCACAGTGGGGCAACACCCACACTGGTCCTGACCCAAATCATCCACCTGGTAAGTTCAAAGCACTTGTGCAAGCTGGGCATGGAATGCACGCTTGTAATGCCAGCATTTGAGGCTGAGGCAGGAGAATCTTCATGGGTTTTCAGCCAGCCTGGCCTATATAGTGAGTTCAAGGCCAGCTTGTACTACATAGCGAGACCTTGTCTCAAAAACACAACACAAAGCACTGCCCATTCATGGCCATAGACGCCACGGCTGACCTTGGAGGCCAGGCAGGCACTGTGGACCCTGTTTTACAGGTGGGGGGACCTTGACATCAGAGGAGCCAAGGTGCTGTCCCTGCTGGCAGCAGCCACTGAAGCTGGAGCTCTGGGGTCCCGGGCCTAGGGTGGATCCTGGCTCTGCCATTAATCACAGATCCTCAGTTCAGCTGTAAGAGGGACAGAAGCAGCCCTGGACGGAGCAACCCCAGATCCAGCGTATGGGATGCTAGCGCAGCACCTGGCACATTTGGGGTGCTGACAAGTTGGGGCATAATTAATAATTCCAATCATCCGCATCCCAGGCTCGTGCCCCCCCACCC